AGATAGCTACAGATAATTATATAAAGAGTCTTTTAAGTGCTAAGTTTAATATCTTTCTTTATTTTCTTAGTCTTAAGGTCCTTAAAGGAAAGGCAATTTATAAAGTCTAGTCTATAGTACCTTGTTCTCTCTCCTTCTTAGGATTAGGCTGTCGCCCTCTGCCTTTACTAGTAATATTTTTAGAGAGTTATAACGCCCTCCTTATTATTTGCCTTTACATTTCTGAAGAAAGTATCTTTAAAGTACTTTATAATTCTATATTTGCTATATTAATAGTCATTATTATTTCTGCTCTTTGCCTCCTTAGTTTTTGTCTCTTAGGATGTATTACAATTAGTTTTGTTTATTAGTTTGCTCCTCTAGCATTATTATATATTATCTTGTTCTTTTACTTTCTGTAACAGATTTTATATTACTTGTATTATATTTACCTCTTTAGATAAATATTATAGAAGGATATAAGATAATAATATCTTTTTGTTTTTTATGTATTTGTGCTATAGTTACTTATCTAATTATATACCTAAGTAAGAGTATTAAAATATACAGCTAATATAACTACAGATTAAGTATATAAGTAGTAGGCATAGATATATTACTAGCCTGTAACTAGCGTTAAAGAAATTAGCTATATATATATAGTTAACTTTTTAAAGCGATTTAACACTATATTAATAGACTTATTAATCTAGATTAATAAGAACTAGCTTTATACTTATTACCCCTAATTAATAAGCTTACTTTTATACTTATAAAGAGTAGTACTACTAGATCTAGATAGATTTAGATAAGTAAGAACAGAACTATAATAGATAAATAGTATTCTCTTATAAGGCAGTACTTTAATAGTATAGATAATAACTCTAAATAATAAGAGTTCTCTTATAATATTATCTATATAATAAAGTTAATTAAGCTTAATAAAGAATATAAAGGACTATAACAGATACTCAGTAGGACAAAGCGATTAGTAACATCTTAGACTACCTAGCAAAGAAAGAGAATAATGGCGACAGTAATACGTGGGTATTACACATACTATACAAAGCGCAGGAGCTGCTAGAGGAAGGAAGGGGGCAGGACGCTAGGGGCGCCCGAGATGAAGAGAGATCAACGAGATCTATTAAGGTGATCCTCTAAAGCATAAAGGACAGGCTAACGAAGATCAAGGAACAGAAACTATCTCAGGCGAACCCTCACTGGGAAGCACGCCCCTTGAAAGCGTTATACACTGCAGCGGCAAAGCGAAACATAGTCGACGACAGGACACAGAGCTCCCTAAGACCCATCGCTACCTATCACCTAGCACAGACAGGCAATGCCCCTAGAAAAGGGGAGAAGAAAATTATAATTAAGATATCTGATAAAACAGAGAAGCGTATAATATGTAAGGGGGAAGCAAAGGAACTAGTTGTGATAGATAATGCATTTCCTCTGCCATGGCACAGAAAATGCATGTGCTAGCCACATACTCAGGAGGCAACGCCTATGACTGACTCACGGCAGCAAGCAAACTCCTATCGTGGGGCGCTTGTCAAAGCGTGTAAGCTATCCGGACGGATTACGAATAAAGAAGTTCGCCTTACCTGATTAGGGAAGCCTAAACTTCACTATACAGCAGGAGGCCAGATTAGGAACTATAAATGCTCTGTAGCTTATAGCGTGGCTCACGCACACATAGGCCTTACCCACTAGTATTAGAGTATATAAATCTGTGTATGGCTATATTATAGATAGATTCTCTAGTTTTTGTTTTAGTAATTTATAAACTATTAATTTGTTCTAGTTTTAAGCTATTATAGTAAATAAAAACTTAACACTTACTTATTATCCTAAGAGACAATACAAAACTCTCTTATCTGTAGCATAGCTATTAAAGAACTCATCTAAAGTTATTTAACTATATAAGAAAGTTGTTGCTCTAAAAATAATATAAAGTCTATTTAATATAAATACTTTGTATTATACAAAGATTTAAGAACTATTAAGTTAAGATAGTTTGTAACTAAACAGAGAAAAGGGACTAGTGGCGAAGTTCACTATTTGTCATTGAGTGCTATCCTAAGACTGCAGAGCCGACGAGGATGGCACTGGGATCGCTCCTATATAGCGAGCATGCCCCTTACTAACGCGTAGTGCCAATCAATACCCGGCGGCCCTAGCGCTAGCGGCCGACAAGCATGGCAGCCGTGACATCACCCCCCCCTCCAGAAGGCTCGACATGTCCTCATGTCTGATGAGAAAACAACAGCAGAACAGCAGCAGAGCAACAGCACAACAATAGCACAGCACACCGACCCAACATATCCTCCTGCCACACGGTTACCAGTATCTACTGGTAGTGAGGCCTATCTCTTCCCACGGCAACCTTCACCCAGTCCTCCAATCTCTGACGCTGTCCCGACACGACAGCCTCAACGCCGGCCTCTATGATCGTATCGAAGGGGGCCACAACTGCCACTGATGCCATGGGCACCGACGTATCCCGACGCGTGGCGTTCTCAGGCCGGGTGATGGATGGCTCTGCCTTCTTCGCGGAACGCTTTGACTTCGTAGGCGTAGTCGTAGAAGTGGGAGGCGCAGACGCAGCGTTTGATCGTGCTATGGCAAGATTGTACTTGGTGTCAGCCAGTTCTTCTTGTAGCCGTTTACGCTCCTCTCTTAGCGCTAGTACTTCTTGCTCGAGCTCATTCTTGGTAGCCACGATGTCGGCTTGTTTCGCTTCTATGGCGCGCCAGCGTCGCATGCGGAGTTCCATCATCATTTTTTCATACGCAGGCTTCATTTCATGCCCGACTCTATGATTGATCCTGTCGATTATGGCCTCAAGGTCGTCCGGGACGGCCTCGTTGTTCTCATAGCACAGTTCCAGCTTCTTGAACTCCTTCACCTCACTGTATCGTACTCTTCGCTTGGTCGAGGGTTTCCTATCAGCCAGCACACCTTTACCCTTGCTCGCAATAGTAGCTTGAGAGGGTTCAGTGTCAGACCTAGTCGGCGTAGTAGAGGTAGGGGCCACGGTGGTTGGAGATTCCTCGGCGATGGGGTTAAGGTCGAGGTTGAGGGCGCTGTTAGCTGTGGCGGCGGTCTCTTCGAGGGCGCTAGCGGCCATGGCGGCGGCGTCATCAGCGGTCAGAGGGGGCACAGCTTCGTCTTCCTTGTATGATTCCTTATTGATCGCAGTGAAACCCGACATGTTGATTAAGAGGACGACGTAAAGAGTATGGCGAGCAGTTGTAATAGTAACAGACAAGCTAGCAGACAGGCGGTGACGACAGTAGCAGCAGAGAAGACAATGTTAATGGAGATGAGAAATAAGACAGATATAAATAAAAGAAGATCCACAGAATAGCAAGGAAACACACGGTCAAGTCAGCGGTGTTTGAGCTGATGACAAGACGAAATATCACGAGACCGACGGCATTACGACGTACGTCGTCTTGTTTTCCGAGTTCTTTGTGTGGTTGCTTTATTGTCGTCCGGATGCTCTGAGAGTGGCTTGTCTCTCAGGGCGCTGTCAAGCCAGTGCTAGAGTCGCTTGGGTGGACCAGTTTCTTGTGGGTACGCGTTGTGGTAAGCTTGTAATGCCAGAGGAGCGTTTCGCAGGTTGCCAGCAGGGTACCATGTGTCGTCAGGGTCCCATCCTTGCCATTATATTTTGTACTCTAGTCGACCTCTACTAATTCTTGACGACAGAATCTTCTCAACCTCTCACTCGAGATCTCTGTCGACTTCAACTGCAGGAGGCGGAGTAGGAACCTGGCCAGGGAGAGGATTGTTATCTGCCTTACGTAGC